AGTGCAATTTCCTGTTGATGGTTTGTGTCAGAGTAACACTTTTTGGTACTTAGGCACCCATTTTTATTGTGCAGCAGTGAGGCCAAGTGGCTCCATTATTGCTGCTTCTGAGGCAGTTCTTGCACATTACTTAATGCTAAGTCAAGTCTGTGTACACGAGTACGAGCTGTTCCAAGAGGCAGAAACTGCTCCTTTGAACTGCCTCACATTGTGCTATCTGACCAGTTTATTCACACGTAATTTAAGTCCCCATAATCATTTGGTTCAACTTTCTCACTTCTCTGTCAACATTATGCACTCAACATGCCTTTGTTGATGCAGGAGCTTGGAGTAGAGAAGATACTAGGGTATTTACTTTGGGATGGATTGGGAGCATAAACCTCTGTGAGCATTGAAGGAGGTGATTCCAATTCCAAATGCATGTGACTTGCAACACTGGGAACACTCTCCATTGTCCAGGGTGATCCTTTAAGGTTCATTGCAGCAATTCCATGGGATAATTATCACTGCTGTTCTGAACAGCACACTCCTCCTCTAACTGTATCTGTGATTGATTTTCTCCTTCTGAATGGTATATGCCACCTAAAAAACCAGGCGATTCAGGCTCCTCCTCCAATTCTCACTCAATACATCCTAAACAGATCAATTTGAATGTTTTTAAAATAATTTATTTTTCAGGGAGAAGACGAGGAAGGAGGATAATCCTTGGTTTGGGGGTTCAGAGCCTTTAGGGAGCTTTTTCTGTGGGTTTCTTCAATTGTGTTTTTATTTTCTTCAGGTGTTTTCCTGCAGTGATAAGTTAAAACAATGCACTCCATGGGTAAGTGAAAGCTGACTTTCTCCTACAATCCCCTCATTATGAAACTGCTGAGTTTGTACAGAAATGGAATAAAGTACTGTGAGACTTGCAATGAAATAATGGATGTTGGGAAGACTAGTTCTACACACTGCTTGCTCAGTGAGATTGTGCCACTGTCCCACACATGCACAGGAATTTTCTATGTGTCAGCAGGTGAAGGGATTGGGACTGCTGATCACTTTGCCCTCCCTGTAGTAATGTGACGTTATCCATCTCTTTTTAAATATCATTCAAAGGGGCTTTTCCCAAACTTTTAACACTTTTTCTCAAATACCCTAGAACTAGAGACTGTACCAACTCCTGCCACTCTGCACAGACTAAAGGAATCATCTTTTCCCCTGTGTAGAAGATCGGGGTTATACACACTCAAAAAGATATTAATGCTCAGTTTTAATAATGCATCCTTGAATCTTGATCATCCTTGAACTGTCCTAAACAAGACTGTAAGTGATGAACTATATCTCAAATAAAAAGGGGTTTTTTCTTCCACAATTAGATTTGCACATGTTGTAATTCAAATTAGAAAAATCTTCTTGCAACTCCCTCCAGTGACTGTCTCCTTTTCTTTCCAAGACATTCCTTATTTTCCTATCTACCTTCAAACCAACATCAACTCGCTCCAGTAACAAGTGGAGACTGAGTCAAGGGCAAGAAGGAAATGAGACTTATTCCTCAAAAATCAGTCAATAGAGCAGCAGAAGTATCAAAAAAAAAGTTGAAAAATCTCTATAACAATCCTGTGAAAGGGAGTTAATTGGCAGCCACGGGAATTGCAATTCCAAGGGCATGTCAAATCCTGAGCTGCTCATGGATTGTCCATTGTTGGTAAGTTCCAAATATGTTCCTTCCAACCTACTTGTCTAAAAGCTTTGGTTCCTCCACCTGTAATAAAGGGCCAGGTTTTGATTTCCATGGAACTTTTAACAGCAGTTCAGGCTCCTACAATGGCCCAGCAGAGATCACAGAATCCTAGACTGTTTTGGGTTGGAAGGGTTCTTAAAACTCATCCAGTTCACCCCCTGCCATGGCAGGGACACCTTCCACTGTCCCAAGGTGCTCCATCCAACCTGGCCTTGGACACTGCCAGGGATCCAGGGGCAACCACAGCTGCTCTGGGCAACTTGTGCCAGGGCCTCACCACCCTCACAGGGAAGGATTCCTTCCCAATTTAAACTTCCAAACCCAAATTTCCAGTTTGGAAACTGCCAGTGAGTTCCCCAGGTTCTTCTCATGTCCAGCAAGAGTTAATGCTCAGAGCTCTCTGAACAAGCTGGAGCACTGCACAAGCCTGGAGATGATTTCTGCAAGAAGTCTGAGGTGTTGGTTTTTTGACCTATAAAGGCTTAAGTGGCTCTGCCTGCTTGAGAAATTCCTCTCCCTTTGCATCACACAGCAGCAGCAGCATTGGAGTGCCAGAGGAACACTGCTGGGGTTACACTGGCAGGGCTGGCGGCTCCCTGGCACCTTCCTGCTTGCCCACTGGGCAACAACAGACATACAGAGATTTCCCACAAAACCACTCACAAGGGCAAAGGCTGGGAGGGGGAATTCAACGCTGGGGCTCTTTTATTGTAGGTAAAGAGGATATTGCTAAAGTTGGCTTCTAAGATGTAACACACCACAATCAAAGTCCATTTCTGTAGGTGATCCTGGAAAATAGGGCAAAGAGAAACGAAACCAGGAAGACATTCTGGTAGAAGTACCTTTGGTGATGTTCCATCACTTGCGTGCAGGATTTTCTGTATTAAATTAAGAATGCATTTCTAAAAATATATTGATCAGAGCACTATGAAGATAATTATAAATCATAATAAAGAAAACCTGACTTGCCTACAGGGCCAACTCTGTCCCACTGATCGCTGGGCAATCCTATTCTGCCTCTGAAAGAAGAGCGCACTGCTTTGGAAACAGGACTGGGCCATCCATGCCTCTCTTCCAAGCTAAGTTCTACAGTTTGTGTTCCCCTGGACAGGCCGACTGCAGCACCTTACAGAGTCTGACATAACCAAGACCTATCCAAAAATGCTGTAAAAACCCCACTTCTTGACTCAATAACTGTAAATGTACCATGTTATGTCCCTAAACTGCATTTGAAGAAGCAATTGTGCAGGTACGCATGCACAGCCGTAAGTTTATTTATTAAGTAGGAGTTCCAGTGACATCAAAGTTAAGCACATGACCTAAAGTTTTTGCAAGATTGGGATGTTGACAACCATGTGCAAAACGAGATGTCCCAATAAAGCCTGATTCTGGTCTGTTTAATATCCCACTATTTAAAAGCAAACTGAAAAGTATACATCCCACTAATTTCTTACTTCTTTTGTACCTGGAGAATTATATCCCCATTTCCCGTTTTTTCTTTCCAGAGGTAAGAACCCACTGCAGGATCAGGACCCAAACGACTCTAACATCGTCATTTTATAGGCCAAGTTTCAATATTTAGCAGCAGAATTAGAAACCACAGCATGAGATCTGCAGGAGAGGTCACACGTACACTTGGCTAAGTCCTCCCAGAGCACAGTGCCTGGCACCAGGCAAACATCCTGCTGCAGGAGGCACAGCCTGACCCCCTGTCTCAGTGCTGCCAGCTAAAACCAGGACTTCCTGCACTGGATCCAGTGGGATGTGGAGCAGGAGCTCACCTGAGCACACAGAGTAGCAGAGTCAAGGCCTGAAACACATCCAGGGCAGGTCAGTGTCTGTTGTGCCCAAACTCAACAGGCTGGATTAGTTTCCCCAGCCCTCTCCATTTGGAGGATGATTTTTAAAGGATGAAATTGGACACTATTCACAGCTTTTTATTCCAAACACCTGGTTGGTGCTGCTGTGATGGCACAAAATTCCCACTTGGTATTGCTGCATTTGGTTAGAAACCTCCACACATCCCTCAGGAGAGGTTATCATCCTCCCATTTCCAAAAGGTCCTACTCTATACTTTGTGCTCAGTTGCAACACCACTGTAGCTTTAGTAAGGAATAAATATTGACTTTCCTGGACATTGCCTCACAACAGAAGAGGACCTTGAATGCATTTGTCTCAGATTTTTTTTTAGCCTGGTAATATAATTTTATAGCAGAGATTTCATCCTGAGGAGTTCAAAAGGCATGGAAAAGCAGGCTTTATTCATGTCACAAATTGTCAATGTTCACTTTCAGACAGGTGACCATGTTCTAAAGCTGGCTCAACTGTCCTTCTCTTCTTAAACTACACAAAATTTATTACTTTCATTTAAATTTCCAGACTTCAAATGTAATTAAGATTTCAACATACCCCATTTGGAAAGGCCTGGAAAAGTCCAGGAGAAAATTAAGACTTAATATTAATGCAGGCTATTCTGTAATTTTTTTTTTTTTTTTTGTTCTCAAGAATAAAGCACACAACTGCCAAGCAGATGAGCTACAGAATGGAGAAAATGCACACCAGGTCTCAGGAAACTGAGCTCCAAATGAAGTGTGTGCTGGAGATGGGTCTGTTCAGTGAATGGCTCAGCTCTGGCTGTGCAGCACGTGCACTTCCTGCCCAGGTGTGGAGATACCTGTGGCCTTAATAGATTACCCTTAATAAAGGCCAGAGAACAGCATTAATTCATCTATAAAAGTACCTGGTGGTGACACCACTGGAGCTCCTGTGTAGGTAACATTTACCCTTTAGGTACAAGCAACAACAAGCAGGGCCAGGGATTCTGGTGGGCACAGCCAGGATGGGATTCGGGGCTGAAACAGAACCCCGACCTCGGCAGAGTGTGTGGAAAACCTCATGAATTTCAGGGAAAAAAATGCTAATCCTGTCTTCTGTCAGATGTTTCACATCCCGACATGTGACTTGACACACTCAGCTTTATAACATCAATTAAGATACGAAATAATCTCTATGGAATCAGCCGACCGCATCCACAATTCAGCAGTAATCAGGCGCAGCCACAGCTCGGCCCCGAAGGAAGGCTCAGCCCTTAGTACGACGCTGTCCCCTCGGCCCCTGTGACCAAACCCGCGGGGACAGCGCACGGAGCGCGCCACAAATCCACGCCGGGACAGGGAACCCAAGGCACCGCTCGGGGAGCCGGGGCAGCCAGGAGGGAAAGGGGACAGGCTGGGGCGGGTGGCGAGGCCGCTGGAATGCGACCAGGCACCGCTCCTTTTACCTGGAGCAGTTTCCCTTCGGCCGGAGTCACCTCGGCGACGCTGGCGAACTCCCCTTCCAGGATGATGGGCTCCACTTTGAGCGGGATGACCCTGATGATGGCTTTCTGCGCCGCCGCCCGCTCCGACTCCACGGCCGCCGCCAGCGCCAGCCCGGTGTGGCCCAGTCCTGCCTGCAGGGTCGCCATGAGCAGCCAAGGCCAGAGGACAGCCAGCTGCACCTGGGGGCCAGCACTCATGCTACCAGCAGCGGGCTCCGGCCGCTCATACCGCTCGGGAACGCGTCCTCACCGCGGCGGGCCCGGCCGGCGGCACCGCTCCCGGGCTCCGAGCCGGCTGCGGACAGAGCCAGGGGCCGCAGAGCGGGGCTCGGTCACCGCCAGCGCGGCTCCCCGGCGACGCCGGCTCTCGCCATCGCCGCTCCTCTTGCCCCGTGCCACGTGCTCAGAGGCCGCCGGGAGCTCAGAGGCATATTTTAAACAAACAAACTAAAAAAAAAAAATTCAAAATCCTAAATTGTGAGTCTGTCCTCCGGCAGATAAATCCAGAAGGATCAGCGAAACAGGTTGCAAGCAAGAAGTCAGTTTGGGTGCACAGGGAGCATTAGGAACTCCTCGGTCCCACCGAGATGAGGCACGGGGAGGTCTCCCCGTGGATGCGGAGGCCTCCTGTCTCCTGGCCAAGAGTTATGAAGACCCACAGGTTCAAAATATCCATCCCAAATACCCTCCAGAGACACCTCACCTTCTTGCTAGCATTTCCCACAGCATAAGCACAACCTTGAATGTTATCTGCACCGATTGGTATCCTTCCCAGAAATTAGGCAGGCGGTATTCCTTGAATTTATGGTGACAAGAAGGCTTGCTCCAGTACTGTTCCCTTCCAAACGAAGATGATCCCTTCCATCTTCCTCATGCCAGAAGCGTTTCATTCAAGTTTGGAGATCAGCTTTACTTTTCCCTCAGAAATCCATGCTCACAGTCTGACTCCGAGTAGAGTTCTCAAAGATCATTAATAAAGCACAGAGCTCCTCTTCATGGCTGGAAGTTCCCAGGAAATAAAAAGGCTCCCAAACACTGCCAAAGTTTAGACACGAAGCCCAACAGGTATCAGGCAGAAAGTTACGGCGTATCTGGTTTCTCTCGCACTATTTCTGTGCGCGCCCCAGTTCCGGTATGACCACTTCCAAGCACACGTTAAGAAGATCCTGACTCAAGGCCCCACAAAATAAAATAGAAAGCTCCACGGTCTGCCCAAAGGTCACATGAAACGCATCGACGAGTCTTCATAACTGGGAGAATTAAGACAGAAAGTGTTTTTGATTAAACTGAAGTTACAGTGATCGCATGGCTCTGGAAAGAAAAGAGGATATACAAGAAAAAAAGAAAACTTTGCAAACCTGTTAGGCAGTGAGCCTGCTGGAGTCCGCAGGGGCCGGGCCGGGAGGGAATCCTGCTGTAAATCCCAGGCAAAAGTTATTTCCAGTAGTTTAACAAAACCGTGTGGCTCTCTCTGATGATGTTTGGGTTCGGTCTTAAAAAAAAATAGAATTGGAATTTCTAACCAAAAAAAGTATTTAAAAAAAGAGGAAAACTCTCTCTAGCACACACGCAGCAGGCAGGTAGGTGCAACCGGAGCTCCACAGCCCGAAAAAGGATCCAGGGAGATCAAAGGGAGAAAATTATAGCAGACAGAGAGCTCCCGAGGCAGGCATGGCTGAAAGTGAAGTGTCCGCATGTAATCGCCCGACCTGCGCCAGCACCCCCGCGCGCTCCGGGAAGGTTTCCAAAGCGCGGCGTCCCCGCAGCGGAGGCGGGCACCGGCCGTGCCGGCAGCGAGCGTGGACGGCGAGCAGAGCTGGGACATGGGCAGCGACCCGGCGGCGGAGCCGCTGCCGGGAGCGCGGGCGGCGGGGCGGGGGCCGGAGCGCGGCTCCGGCGGCAGCGGCGGAAGGTCCCGACGGGCGGGCGGGGGAGCCCCGAGCCGGCCGGGCGCTCGTACCTGCGGACACGGGCGGGTGGAGCAGCCGAGCCGCCGCCCCCGGCCGGGCCGCGGGCTCCCCCTCCCGCCCCGCCGCCCGCCTGCAGAGCCCGGGCCCGCGGGGGCGGGGGACACCCGGCCGGGCTCGGCCCGCCGCGGCTCCGGGCCGGCCGCGCTGCCCCGCGGGGCTCTGCCCATCGCCCCCGCGCTCCGGCTCGGGCTCGGGGAGGTTCCAGGTCGAGCTGATGTCAGAGGTCTGGAATTCCGCCGCTCGGGCTCCGCGGGGAGGTGGAAGATGCTGCGGGCCGGAGCCACGGGCTCGGGCCGGAGCGGGGATGCGGGAGGGCACTGGGGAACCCACCGGGAGCACCGCGTCCGGGACCCGCGGCGGGCCGGGGGTCACGCCCGCTGCTCCTGGAAAAGGGGCCCCAGGAAAGCGAACTGGTCAGCAAGCGGGGTTGTGACACCCCTAGAGTCACTCACGGAAATGAATAAATTATGCCAACGAGAAGTCGGTCCCCTCTTTTGTAGACTTGTCGCTGTACTATTTGTCGTGACAGCCACAACTACTGAAACACGACGCATGTTTTCAACTACAACACTCGATTATCTGCAATTTAAAACACAGAGAAAATGCAATTCAACACCCATTTCTATTAAAAAACTTACTGCAGATTCAGTAGAAAATGTCAAGTTATCTATTTAAATATCTATATACTTATCTAAATATCAATACACCTATGAAATGTCAATATACCTACAACTATATACATATAACCATATATGTAAATCTAACTATATACACAATATAACTATACACATATATCAATATAACTATATATAAAAATATAACTATCCTATAACTATAGACATATATATAACTATAGCTACATACACATATATAAATATAGCTGTGCACACATATAAATATAACTATATACATAGGGAGCCCAGCTGGCAGCTGCTGCACATTTTCACATGCTCTCTCTTGTTCCTTCCTTTCCAAAGCACCCCCACTTGAAAGGCACATCTGCCAGCAGATGGAGATCTAGGAAGAAGCAGGAATGCTGAGTAAATCTGGGGCCTTGTGTGTGTCCCCTGGCACACATATGGCGGGTGTGTTCCTATCAGGGACTAAAAAATACAGCTCCAAATTGGGAATCTGCGGCCTGCAGTTCAAAGTACAGGAATCCTTCTAGTTCTTCAAGCTTTAAATGTAAAACAACAGCAACAAAACAAATTATCAGCAAAGTCCTCCCATGCTCCAAGATCTTTGCCTTGCCTTCCATGGGTACCAGCTGCCCACCGTTAATTAATCTAAAGGCTGGCAGGACCTGCAGGAATGTCCCACGTGGGACACACACACCTTCCCCAATCCATGAAGGGCTTGACTGCCTCAGCATTGCCAAGGCTAGTGCTAAGATCCTACGGAAAACTTGAGGTGTGACAGAGAGCACAAACAAGAGGCTCCTTTTTTTTGTAAATTATCCTAATTCAGGGCAATATAGGGATATTTCCAATGTCTGGTCAAGAAAGTGAACACACACCCTTAAGTCCCCACAGCAGCCCTGGGAATGGCACCCAGGAGAGCTTTAATCTTTCAGCAGAGACATTCACATCTGAGGCAAAGAACTGCAGCCCTTGTTCTTTCTCTGTACTGACAAAGACACTTCATTCTTCCTTAAATGTTTCAAACTGATGGGCGTTATGAGCTGAATTATTAACTAGCACCATTATCTGGAATCTACAAACTCCCCTTTGAAGTGAGCAACAGCTCTTCCAACTCCACCACCAGCTCCTGGATGCACAGCTGGGAGGGAAACAGCTTCCTACAAGGCCGAAGGTGGCTTTGGCTCTAAAATGTATCCAGAGGGCTCCTGGTGTCCTCTTATGTCTCACTAATCTGTGGACATTTAGGTTTCTCTTTTCATTACTAGATTAGAGGATTGTTTGCCCTCAGATATTCTGCTGCTGGTTTTTCTCATGTACTTCAGCATAGATATCAACAGGCTGGTACAACATTTATTTTGTGATTTGAGATGAAATATTTGGACTTCTACATCAACTTCATCAGTTTGGTGGGTTTTTTCCCAGTTATTTCCCGAGTCATCTCATTACTCAATGTTTCCCTTAGAGGACCGTTGCCTTCAGCAAACACATCTGTGGACATCGGCTCCATATTGTGACATCCAGGTTTCTGACAACTCCCAGAACTTCAGGTTTTAAGTACTAATTTAATTAATACCTTTTCCATGGAAGAGGAATTAGTGTTAGCATCTCTGCAGAAGTGTGTTGGTGAGAACACTAAGAGGCTGTACAAGTGTAATATCTTAACTGTAATATTTTAGGATTAACACTGCCATCAATAACTAAACTATTCCTATCTCCCCCCTCTTTAATAGTCTCAAAGTAGTTTTCTTGGCAATCTCTTAAAAAAGTAAAATCTCTTTTTTACCAAGGGAGAGGAAATTGTTTCCGCTAGGTTTTCCTGCTGAATCTGTCCCTTCTAGAGATTCAGTCAGATGCTGAGTCTCTGAATATTCCCAAATCACACTGATGTTCTCCTTTAAAAAAAACTGAAAAAAAACAAAAAAGGAAGGCGGGAAGGAAGGCGGGAAGGAAGGAAGGAAGGAAGGAAGGAAGGAAGGAAGGAAGGAAGGAAGGAAGGAAGGAAGGAAGGAAGGAAGGAAGGAAGGAAGGAAGGAAGGAAGGAAGGAAGGAAGGAAGGAAGGAAGGAAGGAAGGAAGGAAGGAAGGAAGGAAGGAAGGAAGGAAGGAAGGAAGGAAGGCCAAACATCACTCAATATTTCCCTGTAATCACTTCAGCATAAAATAATAACTATTCTACTCCACCCCAAAAGGGCATCTAAGCTGAGGTGAGCACTACCTGGATATGTTACATAATACATTAATAATTAGTAGTAATACATTAGTAACTCGGGACTGAGGGTGCCAGATGGAAACTCAAGCTCTTACAAAATTAAGCCCAACACAAAGTCAGAAAAGTAGAATTCACAAAGTTAGAGTACATGTCCTCACAATCTGAACTGTGCCCTCAGCCATCAAACTGGCCAGAAGAAATAAGCCAGAATCCCAGAATGGCTCAGGCTGAATGGGACAACAGAGGGTCCCTGGTGGCACCTCCCTGCTCAGGCAGGGCCATCCCAGAGCACAGGGCACAGCATTGTGTGCACAGGGCTCTGCAGGATCCCCTGTCCCTGTGTGCAGGGACGGGCAGAGAAGGGCCCAGGCTCTGTCCC